ATGACGGCCCTTGGTTTTTATATATTAGGATAATTTTGGTAAGATGCTTTTCTGCTAGATTCTGGATTCCCTGAATTTTAATTTTTGAGGATGTCTGTCTATTATAACAGCTTATCTTACAAAATATATATTTGTGTTTGATTTTTTTATTCTCACCCGAGGATATTTTTCCATTGATCTTTTAGAGAGAGGGAAAGACAGAGAGAAACATCGATGTGAGAGAAACACATCGATTGGTTTGCCTCCTGCACATGCCCTGACCAGAGCCCAGGCCAGGGAGGAGCCTGCAACCAAGGTACAGGCTCTTGACCAGAATCAAACCCGGGACCCTTTGGTCTATCCACTGAGCCAAACCAGCTGAGGCGCAAAATATATATTTGGTTCATACTCTCTTTGTCTAGAATTCTTAAAGCATTACTCCATTGTCTTCTGGTATTAAAAGTTGTGTGAGACAAATATGATCCCCTCCTCTCCCCTGCTTATTTTTAGGAGCTTTCCTTTTTCCTCTGGATGCTTGAAGAATTATGTTTCCTGTATTTTCTTTTAGAAGTTTTCCCTTTCTCACTTAGGCCCTTTATCCATCTGCAGTTGATTTTTGTGTGTAGTGTGAGGGAGGGATCCATTTTTTTCCATATGGATTATCAGTTGTCCCAAGAGCATATGCATATATTGATGAGGGTATCTGATCTGCAGTGCCAGCCATCATCAGTTTCCACTTACGTGTGGACTTGTTTCTGGGCTCTCTGATCTGTTCCATTGGTATACTTGTTGATTCTCCTATTATTACCACATTGTCTTAATTATTATATTTTTATAAATCTTGAAATCTAGTGGGATAAGTCCTTTTATCTTATTCTTTTAAAAAAATTTATTCATTGATTTTTTAGAGAGAGGGAGGAAGGGGGAAAAAGAGTGAGAACGAGCGGGAGAGAGGGAGGGGAGTGAGGGGGATTGAGAGAGAGAGAGAGAAAGAGAAAGAGAAAGAGAAAGAGAAAGATCAATTTGTTGTTCCACTTATTTATGCATTCATTGGTTGCTTCTTGTATGTACCCTGACTGGGATTGAACCTGCAATCTTGGGGTATCGGGATGATGCTCTGATCAACTGAGCTACCTGGCCAGGGCTTACCTTATTCATTAGGAATAAGAAGACTTTTTTTTTTTTGTCTCTGCATTATTATGTAAAATTTTTAATCAGTTTACCCAATTTCCCCTAAACCCTGTTGGGATTTAGTTTGGGATTACATTATATGTAAAGCTCAATTTGGCAGAAAATTGATCTTTAGAATATTGGATATTGGGTACTCCTTTTTTTAAAAATATATTTTTATTGATTTTAGAGAAGAAGGGAGAGGGAGAGAGAGATAGAAACATCGGTGAGAGAGAAACATCATTGATTGGCTGCCTCCTGCATGAGCCCTTAGGGGGTTGGAGCCACAACCTGGGCATGTACCCTGATAGGGGATCGAACCTTAATCTTCTGATTCTTGAGTCGACACTCTCCCACTGAGCCACATTAGCTGGACTGTCAGATATTTTGGTAATTGCTTTATGGTCCTATATGTATTAAGTTTTCATAAATGTATATTTGAAAAGAACATACAGTTTTCTGATGTGTGAATATGTTCATTAGATCAGGCTTGGTGGTTATGCTGTTAAATCTTCTATAGCCTTCATTGATTTTCTTTTTTTTTTATGTTGGAAATGGAGGCCCAGATTTCTTTCTTTTCTTGCAATTCGGTAGTTTAACTGGGATCTGTTAAGGTATTAGGTGGTTTGTTTGCCATTCTCCTGGAGCATGGTTTGCTTTTCCTCAGATTTATTTCAGATAAATTTTCTTCTTTTGTATTTTTACATTGGTTTGGGTTAATAGTATCCCAGGACTGCTGAAGCAAATCACTACAAAGTGGGTGGCTTCTAACAACAGAAATTTATCTGCTTGTAGTTCTGGAGGTAAAGAGTCTGAGGTCAAGGTGTTGACAGGGTTGGTTCCTTCTGTATGCTCTGTTCCATGCTTCTCTCCTTGCTTATGGAGGTTGCTGGCAACCCTTGGAGTTCCTTGGCCAGTAGATGTATTATTTTATTTACTAGTATTTACTTTTACAAGCAAAAATTTATTTAGAAAGTTACAGAGGTAGAAGAAGTGAGCCATGGAAGAGGTGAGCCAGCTGGGCTGCGTGGGCTTGGGAAACAAGTTACAAAGGCAAAAGAAGGGCCGGCCTTTGGAGCTTAGAAGAAAGAAAGCAAAGAAAACTCCCTGGGGGAATGAGGAATGAGGTGGGCGGGGGCGGGGGGGGGGCGGGAAGTAAGAGGGCAGGGTAGGGGGAGAGAGAGAGAGAGAGAGAGAGAGAGAGAGATTGCCTATCTTCACAACACCTTCTTTCCTCTGTGTCTTCATGTACCTGTCATATAAGGGCACCAAATATTAGATTTAGGGTCCACCCTAATCCTGTATAGCTTCATTTTAATTTAACTAATTACATCCACAAATACCCTGTTTCCAATTAGGGTCACATTCTGAGGTTCCATGTAGACATGAATTTTGGGAGGACACTATTCAACCCAGTACAGTTGGTTTCTCTTCTTCAGGTATACCATACCTTAGAGTTGGGTTGTCTATCTTGTTTTATTGTTCTTCTGTAACTGCTTTAATATCTTCACATCATTTTTTTCCATGTTCACTGTAATCATCTCAATGAAACCTTCTGTGTCAGTAATTCAATATTCAGCAGTGTCAATTCTTATTTTGTTTCAAATTAAATATATACATAAAAATATATAAGTACATGTGTGGATAGACTTTTATTGTAATTTAGGTTGTCTTTATGGTATAACAAGTTAGATTTTCAGGTTTCAGTTTTTTTGTTTTTGAAACTTGTTGCTCAACTGGTAGTAAAAAACAACAAAAACTGAATAACCCGTTCATCACTTGTTTCAGTATTATTGCTGTCTAACAATATATTCAAAACCCAGTGGTGTAAAACAATTTTCATTTGCTCACGATTTTGTGGGTAAGGAATTCAGAAGGGCTCAGCAGAGCAGGTAGGTCTTGCTTGGTTGAGGTCAGGCTGGTGTGGGCTGCAGTCTTCTTAGGGCTCAACCGGTTGTGTGTGATGATGCAGCTGACCATGCTTGTCAGCTGGGATTTTAGCTGGCAGAGGCAATCGCGGAACACCTGCTTGTGATCTCAGGGTACTGAATAGCTAGCTTTTCTCAAATTAAGTGTCCAAAGAGAAGCTGCATAGCCTTTTCTAGTCCAGCCTTGGAAGTCACACATTGTCATTTTCAGTACATTCTTTTTGTAAATTCTGGGATGTAAAGCTCTTCTTAATTTTAGTTGACATACAATATTATATTAATTTCAGGAATACAACATAGATTTGACATTTATATACCTTATGAAGTGATCACCACGAGAAGTCTAGGAACTGTGATGACTGTATAAAGTTATTATAATATTATTTATTGTTATTTTCTGTGTTGTACTTTGTATCTCCTTGACTTATTTGTGTCATAATTATAAGTTTGTACCTCCTAATCCCTTTCACCTTTCTCCACCACCCAATCCTCTGGCAACTATCAGTTAGTTCTTGGTACCTATGAGTCTGTTTTGTTTGTTTAGTTTAAAGTTCATTTAGTTTAAATAAACATCCTGACAGGTGTGAGATGATATCTCATTGTTTCACTACATTCTTTTGGCCACAAGTGAGTCCTATGGCCAGCCTAGATTCAAGGGCAGTGATGTGATAGTGACAATGTCACATTGCAGACAACCTTTCAGGATGGGAAATAGCTGTTGTAGCCATCTTTGGAAAATATAATCTGCTATACTCATATGAGTTTTTCTTTTAATTAATTAATTATTATTTTTAATCTTTATTGTTGAGATTATTACAGATGTCCTTCTTTTCCCCCACCCCAGGCCTTCACCACCCTATTATCTGTGTCCATAGGTGATGCATATGTGCATATAAGATCTTTGTTTAATCTCTTCGTACCTCCCCCATGTCCCTTCCCTGAGAATTGTCAGTCTGTTCCATTTCCATGCCTCTGATTTTATTTTATTCACCAGTTTATTTTGTTCATTAGATTTCTTATTCGTTTATTTTGATTTTTAGATTCAATTGTTGATAGGTATGTATTTGCTGCCCTTTTGTTCATATTTTTTATCTTTTTTTTTTCTTCTTCTGTGTCACTGACTCCCAATCCACACTAGTTTTTACAGCTCATAATTCTTACTGCCCATAGGGACTTTTCCCAGCTCTGGGACCCTGGGCTGGGGGTCTGGTGTGGGGCTGGGACCCCTTGCTCCTCTGGGCGGCCCCCCGCAGAGACGATCTTCCCTCCTGATTAAAAAAGTGGCCCATGTGGGTGTTGGACTGGCCCATTCCGCCCCTCCACACCTCCTACCAGTCTCAGTGTGCTTTCTTCTTTACTTCTTTAGTTGTAGGACTTCCATTCAGCCAGCTTTGTGGTAGTTCTGCATGATGGTTGTTCTGTATTTTAGTTGTAATTTTGATGTGGCTCTTCATATAAGTTTTTAATGTATAAAGCAATTAGCATTGTATTAATCCTCTCAACATATCTTTTTTTCAGTTAGTTTTCCATACTACCATGACTTCTTTCCAGAGTATCAGTACATTACTCTTCAATATTCTGTCTCTTGCCTCATAGTTACCTTAGTTATGAATTCTACAATTACACATTCACCAAGGTGGCAAGTATGCGTGCATAAATGTGCTCTTGCATCCGTTCCTTCTTGTTGGTTAGTGAAGCAACATCATTGGTAGAGGCAAGTGGGTTGAAATGAGGATGTTCTTTCAAGGTTAATTATGTTATAAATTGGATTCCCAGATACTTTTTATCTATCAGAGGTGATGATCCTGGGATATAGAGGTAACAATAATATTTCACTTACTTTTGTCTTTTTCTTCTCTTGACAGAAGTAATTTGGGCATACAGAGGTAATTTGGGCAGCTTTAGAATAGTGGTAACAAGAAGTCAAAGGGAATACCTACCCAACCTTGTCTAATATTAAAATTGGTTAAGTTCTTTGAAGTTCATCAGTGATTTCTAGGATACCTTTGGGCATAGATAGGAGTTATTAAAAACATACATGCTTATTATATTTAAACTACAGATATTTTTCTAGCTTAGAGGTAAATCTTATAGAGAAATACTTGTAAAATTGTTACTGAGAGACTGCTGTGAATAATGAATGTAATTAAGCCTGGAATAAAATTCTTTATTACTAACTCATCCTTCTGGTTTGATGTATGGCATCTGTATGTACTGTGTAATTTTAGGCTTATCTGGAGCAGGGAAGACCACCGTGAGCATGGCTTTGGAGGAGTACTTAGTTTGCCATGGTATTCCATGCTATACTTTGGATGGTGACAACATTCGTCAAGGCCTCAATAAAAATCTTGGCTTTAGTCCTGAAGACAGAGAAGAGAATGTGCGACGCATTGCAGAAGTCGCTAAGCTGTTTGCAGATGCTGGCTTAGTATGCATCACAAGTTTCATATCGCCTTATACTCAGGTATGTGACTTTGGGCTAATTACATGTATTGGGAACATGGCAAATAGTTTCAGCATTAACATTTGCTTTGAGGCTAAATCCAAATTAAAAAGGATTAACCTACAGCATTTTTGTGCTGTGACTTAATTTTTTATAAAACCTGCTATAAACCCTCTGCCCCCAAAGTGTAACTAAAGTCATTGGCCTTAAGCCAAGCTGACCTTTTAATTCAATATGCCTATAGAAAATACTCAGCGGGTATTAGACACCAGGAGAAATCTTGTTTCTTAACATGTGTCCTATCGTGTTAGCTTCTTTGCTCAAAATTCTCAAGTCCCATCTCTCATCATATTCCTCTTACTTCAGAGACCATAGCAACATTGGTTCACTTTTTTGTGTTTCTCTGAAAAAAATCTTTTTTTTTTTCACTGCAAGATTTTTTGTTTCTCCCATCTGAAAGGCACGCTTCTCCTTCCTGCTATCCCCCTCTTCTCAGCATCACCCAGTCCTGTTCATGCTTTGAGACTCAGTTAGATATCTCCTCCTCCTGAATACCTTCCTTTTCTCAGAACCTCAGGCTTTGTTGGGTGCCTCTCTGTGGTGTCCTTGTTATTATACTTCAACACATTGTTAGTTATAAATACCAGTTCCTTGGTTGGTGGTGATTATGCGCGGTGGTAGTAGCAAAAATATTAGTGATAATAGCAACTAACGTTCATTGAACTGTTATTTTGTACTGGTAGCGTTTTTAAGTGCCTTTGTGTGAATTAACTCATTTAGTATTCCTCACCCAGTAAGGAAGGTAGAGGTGAGGAAACAGGTGTAAATTACCAAGGCCACACACTACACGTGGTAGAGCAGGGATTTGCATCCACACAGTGTCCCTGGAACCCATGCTCTTGCCTGCTGTTCTTTGCTGCCTCTTGGGGGCTGGGACTACATCTTGTTTATCTTTGTAATCTTGATGCCACGCCCTGCTCCTGGAACACAGTAGATATTTAATGTTTGTTAAATGATAGTATAGCCCCATAGGAAGCCCAGATAGCAAAGAACAGGTAAGTTAGTTTAGTGATTAAGGGCAGGGGCTTTGGAAACAGACACAGTGGGCTGAAATGTCAGCTCTTTCTATTACGGTTATGACCCTGGCCAGTTTACTTAACCTTCCTAAGCTCTGATAATGCTTGCCTCATAGGGTTGCTCTGAAGATTGCATTCAAAGCTCTCAGCACAGTGGCCTGGTGTGTACTAACTATTCAGTATATGGCATACATAATAGCACAATTCTAGTACTGTCATAAATTCGGATGGTGACTTAGACCTTCAAAACCAAAGAAAACAACATTTGAACTGTAAGATTTATAGATAAGTATCAGGTTGAGTGTTAACCCTGTAGGTTCACTTAATGGAACCATGGCAGGAGTCCTGATCTGCTCTGTGAGGAGTAGCTACATTTCTTCCTGAAATGTTGGAATCTGTGTCAATACATCAGTTTAAGTTATGTTGATAAGTGTATAAGCAGACTGAGAGGTGTTTAGAGTTCCTGAATCCTTGGATGTAAACAAGTTTTATAGTTACAAAATAACAGTGATAGTCTTGCACCTTCTGGGGATCTTTGCAACTGCTGGAAAAGGAGAAAGTCAGTACCTGATTTTCAGAGCTGGGTATCTGAGAGTTTATGCTGATCTGCTTTCTGGCTCCCTGGTTTCCATAGCATGGAGCAAAATTTTTGTTGCTCTCATTTCTCAGAGCATTAAGAATGAGGTTTGACTGTGCATAGGGCATATGAAAATCTGTGATACCATTGGGATAGAATAATGTTATATAGGATATGTGCATTTTTCCATGTCACCACTGAACTTGAGTGTCTTCGTTCTAAAATAAACCAGATTGTTCCTGTTAAAGGAGTTGGTATGCTAGGTAGTCCGGGAGGAACATGCAGATGTGAACAGTCATAACATCTTGAGGCAAGTGAAGGGGTAAATGTATCTGAAAGGTGCTGTGGAAGATTCACAGAGGAGGTGCTGCAAGTGAGTCACCAAGGATGAATCAGAGCATACCAGTTAGACTGGAGGGTGAAAGCTGCTTCAGACAGAAGGGTTACAAAGGCATGGAAATGTGAGGGCGTTTGGTCTTTGTAGGACTCTAGGTAGTTTGGTAAAACTGCTGTGCGGGGTGAATGAGGGGAGATGAAACTAGAGCAATTTGCAGACCCTTCGGGTAGTTAACAGTTCAAGAATACTGAGGAATGTTGTCACTGAGTTTGCACCTTTGTGAGGACATCTTTGAAGCCTGGATGAGAATGGCCTGGAGGTAGAAGACTGGTTAGGAGGCTTTTGGAGTGAATTCCAGCAGCAGTGGACATGGGAATGGGCATATTGAAGGGCTGGTGACCAGTAGCAGCAGCAGGACTTGGTGCCTGGTTAATTATTGCTTCTTTTTTGAGGGGGAGGGGAGCTAGGGAGTGAAGGATGGTGCTGTCTGAGTAAAGATGGTATTATTAAGTTAGAAAATACAGGGTAGGAAGGGAGGGGTTGAGTATTCACTTCAGGTGGAAGTGCTAATGGAGATGATCACGAGAACATTGGTTCTGGAGCTCAGGAAAGTAGAACTGAGATGCAGATTTAGGTATCATTCCCTTCATTGGTTGAAACCTAGATAAAGTTGAGTATACAGAAGAGTGTATAGAATGAGAGGAGGGCTGCTGATGGAAACTCGGAGCACCTTCTTTGAAAGGACAGCTAGAGCAGTAAGATCACAACTTAGTAATCATTCTGCCAGATATGATGGCTATAAAGCTAGTGAAATGATTTTAATATATTGGGATAAGATCTATGACAGAGGTACATGGTGGATACATCTGGGAAGCCAGAGAGAGCAAGGTCCCTCAGTCTGGGCATACACGGGAGGCTCCTGGAGGACGCCACCTTGCACATATGCTGTGAGGGAGCAACTTCTGAATAGCCCTCGTGTAGGCTGAGGTTGAACATTAGGGAGAGGCCTGATGATACCTGTATTCAAGCTGGGCTCTGGCTCAGGTTCCTGATAAAATCAAATGGAAGTTTTTATGGGGCATCTGTTACTTTTCCCTCCTGGAATTCCCCCAATATCTCTGGTTTTAAGAATTGTATGCTTTTAAAAATTGTTATGAAGGATGGGTGTGTTAACCTGATTATTTTTTAGATTTTTTTGTTTTGTTTAAATTTAAAAAAATAAAATTAAATTTTATCTAATGTATTTTTTTACTCATCCATGATATTCACATAGTACCTTTGATTTGTATAAGCACTTTTTATTCTGTACCCATCTTTTTTCTAAGGATCGCAACAATGCGAGGCAGATTCATGAGGGTGCAAGTTTACCTTTCTTTGAAGTATTTGTCGATGCTCCTCTGCATGTTTGTGAACAGAGGGATGCCAAAGGGCTCTATAAAAAAGCACGGGCTGGAGAAATTAAAGGTAAGTCATGTGTCCCCCCCCCCCCCCCCCCGTTTCTCTTCGCTTAGGTATTTTATCTTACCAGATAAGATAAAATACCTTTTCTCATCCCATATCTTTTCTACGAGATTGGGGATATTCGAATGACTTGGAGCTTCTTGAGAAGAGAAAGTGGGTCTTATTACACGGTTTTAGCTCTCAGGCCTAGCAGAGGTACCTGGCACTGTATTCACAGTGACTATCACTGATCGGGTTGGAATCCTAACCAGAAGACAGAATTTTAGAGTGTTGGGACTTTGGGGGCTGGTGGAAACTCCTTGATATAATTAGCTGCCTGGCATTAGATGGGATATCAAAGGCTAGCTGCTGCTATTACAGCTCTTTGTTCCACTGATAATGAAGGACATTTCAGAGCCAGTGGGAAAAATGCCTGAATTTTAAGCATCTTGAGAGCAAGAACAATGTCTTGTTTATAGCCTAGTGCTTGGAATGATCGCTTATTCATTCTGTGTACAATTGTTGAATTGGGTTGAATTAACATATCACTGTTTCCATCAAAATATATACACCTTGCTTTTTAGGTTTTATGGTCTGCTCCAAGAGTTTCAACTGTGATGAGCATTTGGACATAGGAGACATTTAGAACTCGTCTGCTGTGGCCTTTGATACCAATTATGTTATTTATCTTCTAGACATCCTTGACATTAGTCCTGTTCTATTATTAACAGAAACAGAGCACATGCAGTGTTAAAAAAAAATCAAAGGTAGATTACTCAGTCAGCCTTATTTAGGAATCAATGATTCATGCAGGTAGCTTTTGTTTACCTTCCTAACAGAGTGAGATCACCTGGAACTTGCGCAGGAGTTCCGGGAGCTCTGTGAATAATAGATGTTGGCCTTCAGCTTCTGGCCCTGAAAAGGAAAAGGTGGAACGGGAAGGAAAATCCTTGTTATTCTGGGCTCTTCTGTATTTTGGACATGGGAAGGCTTGAGCGGTTGGGTCAGAATCCACCTGCGGTGGGAAATCTGGGTCCTTGGGCCAGGTTGGTGTCCAGTCGTGCCTCCTGGAGACTCAGTTTCACTTGTTAAGCTGGCACTTGCTTGACTCAGAAAGCACAGGGTAATGTAAGACAACAGGAGGGAAACCAGTTTCACCCCTTTGCTTCTATATCACCCTCTCCCTGTTGATGGGCAGTTTTCACTTCAGTTTGTTGTAATAGAGTTTTGACCAAGAGAAGCAAAATGATGTGTCCAGGATCCTGAAGTCTACATTTTTTACTTATTTTAATTGTAGTTGGTTTTGTTTTGCAAAGATGTATCGTTGAGGGAGGTAGATTTGTCTGCTGGGCTGGAGTAAGTGACTTGTGAGCAGGGACAACACCTTGTGCATTTTCATAATGTTAGAGGTTAGCACAGTGGCCCAAAGCATAATGCCTGGCAAACACATAGTAAGTGCTTTTCAGATGGATGAGAAGGCGGAGTGGAAATCAGATGACAATACCCGTTTATCAACCCTTACTTGCTTTTGGCAAGGAATATACTTGGTGTTCGGGATGCAGTGATGAATAAGACTTCATCCAAAGTATCGCTTACAGTTTGCATTCTACATCTGGGAGTGTGTTTGTATTAGCTTCGTTTTCTGTGTGTTACTTGCTTAATTTCCTGTTTCTCAATTCTTTTGTGTACACATTGACAAGATGTTCCTCAGGTTAAAATATGTATGGGTGTGTACATGTGTACACATATTTATTTTAGGTTTGCTATGGTGCCAGAGTTCCTGATTGTTCAGTTGTTTTTAAAAATTTCTTGTTAGATGACACTTAAAAAGTTCCCTGTCAGTGTTGTTTTGGGGCCTTAATGATAGACATTCAAGGACAGATGAAATTGCATACATTTAGCAGAACTCAGGATTGTATAGGTCATTAGGCTTTTATTAAACTGTAAATGTGTCGCTCTGTCAGGCATTCTAATGCCTAGATTATTTTCATGATTACTGCTCATGTAGTAATTATCTACTGAAATATAAATGTTTTTCTTACAGCGTTAGTGTATTATCCTCATTTATGGGATAAATTAGCTTGGAAGAGAATTCCTCAACTTGTAAAATGTTAAGCCAAGTTTTCTAACATACTGATTGTCTAGCTTTGCTGCTTGACAATTAGCATTACCTGTAGGAATTTTTAAAACTCCAGTGCCAATGCTGTCCCTAGGCTCATGAAATCAGAATCTCGTGGGAATAGGACCCAGTGATTCCAGTGTGTAGTTACATTCGAGAATCAGAGCTTAAGAACAAGTAGTAGTGTTTTAACCAGAATTATACCCGCCCCCCCCCCAGCTGTTTTATTGCGACTCACCCCTAAATACTGCTGGAAATGTTAGTAAAGCAGAAATATATTCCTGGGTTTAGGACTTCATGAGATACTTAGAAATATTAAATAGGAAAAAAGTGAAATAAGAGGACACTGTAGACTTGTAGTGTATATTTTAGAACACTTTTGAGAACTGTACCCTTAATAGTAATGATGTTAAGTTCATGTTCATCCTTCTAATCCAAGGATGACCTAAGCATTCCAAGGCAGGCAGGCCTTGAATGATTTACGCGTAGGTGGTACAGAAGTGTAAGATAGGAAGAGCGTACCTTCAGCTCAGCTAGCCCATTCCAGGAAGACATCATGTGTTCTTTATTTTCTTGACAGTCACATGGGAAAGTCTTAAATAGTGGTTAATAACTAAATTTGACTGTGGGATACATTTTGTGATAGAACAGGGTTACCTTCCTGATCTGTGTTTTGTTTAAGCTAAGAGTGGTTAATTTGTCTTGCCTGAACACTTAAGCTGGTGGCAAGGCAGAGCCTGCAGGGCTTCAATGTGGCCTTAGATAATTGCTGTGGACAGACGGATCAGGTGTCCTTTTCTGCCTTGAGAGGAAAAAACTGTGCCAATTTTAGTTTTATGCCCAGGGTTTAGGTGCTGTATTCTGTATTTCTTTGGAGAAATGAGGTGCTCCTATCACTTGGTGTTAATTCCTGTGTCTTCACAGGCAGTTTAGACATTTGAAAAGAAAACGGAAGTATAGTTGATCCTCATTAATTGAAGAGTCCTATTTGCAGGTTGGCTTACTCACTAAAATTTATGTGAAACCCCCACATGTGTACTTACGACACTTTAGCAGTCATTTGTGGACATGTGCAGAGTGGCAGAAATTTTAGTCATCCGGAGCACACATTCCTAATTGAAGTTGAACAAGGTGACGTTTGGCCTTTGTTTCCCCTACCGTATTGTAAAGAAGCGTCCTTTTTGTGGCTTATTTAATACCATAGTTTTTGCATTGTTGGGGTGCTTTTTGTTGATGATTTTGCTGTTTAAAGTGGCCCCAGGCCTAATGCTGAATTGCGGTCTAGTAAGTTCAGGAAGGCTGCCATGTGCCTTACGGAGAAATGTGTGTTAGATACGCTTCATTCCTGAAGCATGAGTTAGAATGCTCTTGGTCATGAGTTCAGTGTTAATGAATGAACAATATAAAGTAAGGTGCTTTAGTCAGAAACACACATAAAACAAAGTTATATATTAATCAGTTAACAAAAGTTTTGTTGCCAGAAGCTCATAGGAGTCTAACCCCAAATTTCCCCTATGAATAATGCTTCAGTTACTCACTAATTTAGTGTTTACAGCAACTTCACTGGACACAACTACTGTGATGATGACAATAGACTGTATGTGGCTAAAGAAGAAACAAACGTTTAATTAGAAATCTTCTCCCAAGAAAGAAGTTTCATTACTCTAACCCTGTACCTTCGAGGGGCAGCAAAAATATTAACTTCAACATAGCAGAGAGAGACTTGCACTGATGAAATAAACGTAATTCATTTTTAATTTCTGCCTTCCTTCATTATCTGGTACCTTTTATAGGTTTCACTGGGATTGATTCCGAATATGAAAAGCCAGAGGCCCCTGAGTTGGTGCTGAAGACAGACTCCTGCGATGTGAATGACTGTGTCCAGCAAGTTGTGGAGCTCCTGCAGGAGCGGGTAAGAGGAGGTCAACGCAGGAATCACCAGAGCCTGTTTCTGTTTATTGCATACCCATGGCCTCTAAAAAAAGGTGGTGGTAATATGGAGGAATGTCTGTGGTTTTAAATTCTTTATGATGCCAACAGTTTTCTGTATGTGTAGGTTGCTGTGTTAGGTATTGGGGGAGGGGATACACTATGTATGCACAACATATGAAATAGTCCATCAGTGTAACCTACAGGAGGCTTGAGAGCCAGTAATCTTTTATTTTATCAGTAATTGTACCACAGAAGTACCTAACAGAGAACAGTCGGCCTTGATTTATTCAGCTTTACAACTTGGCATTATTATATTTTTTCAGTTAAGATACATAAGGTAGTACCACGGTAGCCAGTCTGCACTTTGAACCTGGGAGGCCTTGGAGGGGGAGGTTTCTGTGTTGTCACATGCATTAGCAGATCCTGGGCCAAGAGGTCCTCCACCTCCCTCCCTCCTTCCGGCGGACCATATTTGCTGCTACCCCTCCCCCACACACAGTGGACCCTGGGAGGCCTTCCTGCCCTTCCCTGGCAGCCGAAGGCGTGTGTTTTGTGAGCCAGGGTGCAGGGAGGTGGGAGAGTTTGATGCCTGTGCACCACTGAGGAGAGCTCACTCTCAAGTCTCCAGACCTGCTCCCGATCTCCCTTCTGAGCACCTGTTGTAGGCCTGGCTGTGAGTGAGTGCTGAACCCCTGGTGTCTGGGCTGCCAGTCACACTGGTTCTTGCTCAGCCTTTCAGAGTTTCAAAGGCATTTTAGCTGTTTCTTCCTTTCTGCCTTTATTGCAGTTTCCTCTTGCTCCCATGCTCTACTAAAGGGAGCAGGTCATGTGTCTGGTCTTCTCTTGGTGGGACTTGTCACTCTTTGGGAGCAGTTCACGCCACTGCAATAGGACCTCTGCTCTGTGATGGCCTCAGGGAAGGTTAGGGTTTCATGGTTCAGCTGGCCTTTCCTCTTGTTACGTGATGTTCTGTTGCAGAACCTCTGTTCCATTTTCAGCACATTGTGTATTATCCTACCTTTTGCTGTTGGGGTTGTTTATAGTTTTTAATAATAAATTTGTATGAAAACCATAGATATTAATTCCATGTCATGTTTGTTGCAACTGTTTTCAGTATTTTTCTTTTTATTGTGATTGTATTTTTGTTTGCAATTTTTTTGTACATCGAACCTATCCTTTTTACTTGGATTTATCATATCAGTGTTAGAAAGTTGCACATAATTTTATTTTGTTAGATCTTTTTTATATTTAATTAATGATTCTGAAGTATTTTTATTAGTAAAACTTCAGAAACATACTCATAGATACTAATATATAATAATAAGGGGGGTCATGAGTCCCTGAAGCCATTTTATAGACTACAGATAATTGCAGGTAGTTCCGACACTTATAAGTGACTAGAGGCCCGGTGCACAGGATTCATGCACTGGTGGGGAGTGTGGCCTGCAGGGATTGGCCCGCTGTGGGAGTGCCTCTCATCCCGTTCAGCCAAGTGGGGAGTGCACTAACCACCAGGGGCAGCTCCTGTGTTGAGCGTCTGCCCCCTGGTGGTCAATGCACATCATAGCGACTGGTGAACCGGTCGTTCTGGTCATTCTGCTGTTCGGTCGCTGGGCTTTTATTATATAGGATTATTCTTACTGTGTGATGGTACCACAGGTCTCGCCCTCCTTTCTTTCTTTCCTGCAATTCCTAGCCTCTTCTTTGGGCCCTATTGATAATAGAACCTTTTTTGGGGGCGGGGGGGAGACAACATTTTTTTGTTATTCTTAAAATAATGTTATTTTGCAAAAATGTTGCAGTTCTTTGAAAGTCTAAAAATAGCACAGCTAATTCCTGTATTTCCTTCACCCAGCTTCCTCTTGTTACCATATTATGTGATCATAGAACATTTCTGAAGATTAAGAAATTAACCTTGGGTATGATACTATAAACTACAAATACCAATTTTACAAGTTTTCCACTAAAGTGCTTTCCTATTCCAGGGTTCAGAATCTCATATTGTATGTAGAGTTAAATTGTTTTTTGACCATGCTGCTATAAAATGAAAATACAGACTCGTGGTATCTATAATGCATAAGACTGCAAGATTTTTTTCCTTATGATTAAAAACTGAGAGTAAACTGCCACTATATAGTTTTAGGCTCCTATTACTTGTATTCTCTTTAACTGGTCACCCAATGTCCAGTTTTGTATGCCTTTTATTCCATCCTGTATTGTTTGCAGAATTATCTTTCTAAAGTGTAGTCTAATATCTATTTGTTTTCACTCTAAAACATATATTGATTTTTTTCCAGTTTATAGAATTAAGGTGATTCGTGTTCAGTCTGGTACCAAGCTGCATATTTTATTGTTGTCCTTATGTATTTCACCATGGTATTCCCTCCCTCCTTCCCTGCTCCATCCAACAATTCCTCCCTTTTTCCCATCCCTCCCTCCCTCCCTCGCTCGCTCCCTCCCTCCCTCCCTCCCTCCCTTCCTCCCTCCCTTCCTCCCTCCCATGCCATTGTTTTCCTTAGTCTGTATTCTGTAGTCTTAATTAATGCCTTGCTCCGAATTAATGATTATACTAATTGCCTTTACTTTTATACAGATCTTAGTCTATATTATGCCTGTTAGATGATCTGATGATTGTCATTCAAGGTTGGAGAATAGGGACAGATATGAAACTAGAAGTTACTGATTACTTATTATAATGGACATATATGCAAGGCTTTGTGTCTTAAAACTTTCTTTTAAAATTGATTTTTAGATAGAGAAAAGGGAGGGAGGGAGAGAGGAAGAGAGAGAGAAAGAGAGAAATAGACATCGATTTGTTGTTTCACTTATTTATGCATTCATTGGTTGATTCTTGTATGTGCCCTGATGGGATCAAACCCACAACCTTGGCATATGTGAACAGTGCTCTAACCATGTGAGCTACCCGGCCAAGGCAAGGCTTTGTGTCTTTTAAAATATTTGTTTTGATTGTTAGACTCTGAGGGAAAATGGCCTTTCTCCTAGTTTAGCTTGTTAGAAGGTCCTGAATAAAGACATTTTGTTCAACATTGCTTTGTATAATGCTGATGTGATGCTGTAAGAACTTAACTCTTATTTATACCAATTAGCCTATGGTAAAATTGGTTTCCTTATACAGTCTTTTGCTTAAAGTTGCAGAGCCTAAGGAGGATGTTAAGCAGACGGATCACGAGAATTCTCGCTTCATATTACACAGTGTTTTACTGAGTATCATACTTTAAAAAGTTATTTGCTTGTAAGAACATGTAATAAATAACTTGAAAATGCAATGGGTATTTAATTTTAAAGCGTGCCTTTAACATATATGTAAAACGTTTTGTGTACTCTCTCAATAGAAACTTATCTGGCCACTGGGTAAAGCTAGCAATAAAACTACTGGTCCACCATGCGTTAAGTGAGGACTTACTGTAAGAGACAAATCACTCTACTTGGATTACTACGGCAGTTTCTCAGTGGTCTTTGTGCTGGTACTTTGTATATGTGTTATTTGTTCACACAGTAGCCTATGACTTTT